TTCTCAAATGTTGGAACCATGAGCAGGGCAATACTGAACTGACAGGAAGTTTCTCAGTTTAGCATTTATTCTGCACAAAAAGTGCTGCTTCTTGCAGGGAAATTTTTTTCCCCTCTCTGCAAAAACACCACATGTGAATTTTGAACAGAATTAAGTTCTGAACTACAGCATTTTCTACATGGCAGACAGCATTTTCTGTGCAGAAATATTATTTATCTGTGCATAAAATACTGTTCCTGTGCAGAAATGCTGTTCTCTGTGAAAGAAAGAAAAGAAATACATTCTTGCACATTTTGCACAGAATAAGTCCCCAACTTCCCATGACACCTGGACTGAAAAGAAAGGATGGATATAGGGATAGGACCATGTCATATCCAGAGTTTGTCAAATAATTTTTTTGAACTACATTCCTCAGATCCCCTAGCCAAATCTGAGGCTCCATCCACAGTTCAGAAAGAATGCAGTTTGTCACCACTTTAACTGCCATGGCTCAATGTTATGGAATTCTGGGATTCAAAGTTTTGAGAGATATTTAGCGTTCTGTCAGAGAGCTTTGGTGCCACAACAAACTACATATTCCAAAATGTCCGTTTCCCAGATGGAACCATTCCACAAGGTGTGTGGTCTGTTCACCAGCCAAACAAGCTCCTGAATTATGAAAACCCTGAAGAAAAGATAAAAAGAAACAACCCCAAATCTAAGAAAATATGCCTAATCTGAAGACATAAAAGTCTTAAAAAACCACAAGGAAAGCAAACTAAGGGGGGTTGCAGACTGTCAAAAATAGTGTGAATTCAGTCCACTTTTAGGGTTAGGGTTAAGGTTAGGGAATCATGGGAACTGAATTTTATTGTGGCACTAGAGTTCTCTGACAAAGAAGGTTCAATGTCTCAGAAAAATAGCAATTCCCATGATTCCCTAGCACTAACCTTAACCCTAAAAGAGGACTGAATTCACACTATTTTTCACAGTCTGCAACCCCCCTAAGACAAAAAAATATTCCCTTCTGTCTAATGGGGAAACCACTGGGTGAACCCATCATCATAAAGTAAGGGCTGAAAGCTACTATTTGTGCTATCAACAGGGAATACTATAACCACAACCAAATAATAGTAGGTTCTCAAAAACTAAAAACTTCCAGGTGCTCTAAATAAATAATCAAAGTCTTTACCACTACTTTACCAAAACAAAACAAAACAAAACCCACCCACACACTGAAGATGACCCCTATTAGATGGGATGGCCGAAATGAGAAAGTCAAAGGCTCGGGAGAAGCATTAGTTCCCCATGAACATGGCAAAAATGCACCACATGCTCCCTAGGGGACATTTGGGAAAACATTTTTAAAGCATTTTTTGACATACAGCCCATGTCCCAAGGGCAACAAAACAACCCTGGGAGACACATGTGGCCCATAGGCCACACTTTGTCCATCCTGGTCCTACTGTACAATCCAACAACTGAACAACTGTACAATCCAAATCACATTTAAAGACAAAGCACCCCGAGAAAGGAGTTTCCCATCAGCAACGAGTCCCTCGGCAGCAGATGAAGCAGACACACATCTGGTCGCAGTCTTTCTCTACTTGAGTGAGTTCTACTATTTCCCTTTAAAATGTAATTACTCTTCCTAAATTTCTAACTGTACCTAAAAATTAACATTTAAAAGACCCTTCTGGGGTGAGGGGCATTACTTAAGGGATCAACCTAACTGGGATAATGGGTGCGTCTATACTGTAGAAATAATGCAGTTTTGATATCACTAACTGCCATGGCTCCATCCTACAGAATCCTGGGATTTGTAGATTTGCAAGAGACCAGCACTCTGGCAGAAAAGGGGAACAACCTTGGAAAACTACAAATTCCAGAATTCCATAGGTTGGAACTACAGTACTTAAAGTAGTGTCACACTGTATTATTTCTAAAGTGGAGATGCACCCTAAGTGTAGATAAACAGTTAAAGAAACTATTATTGATCTTTCCAAAACTCTTTGTACCTACTCCCAGTAGATACTCTAGTTATACTTGTTCATGCGCTGGTAACTTCCCAATTAGACTACTGCAATGTACTCTATGTAGGGTTGCCCTTAAGATGACATTGAAAAGGCAGGCATTTAGCCCTTCCCCCTAGAAAGGCAATTCTAAAACTCTGCATTAAATGCAAGTAAAGCCAGAGAGTAATGGAATAAGGAAATATACATAGACCATCTGATGTCTCACAGTTCTTTTACACTCTTTCATACCAATTGAAAGCCTTGAGGATGTCAGCCTACCTGGTGAAAGGTAATCGCTTAAAGAAAGCTCATGTATTTTGGTAATCTCTAACTTCCACTGTCAGAAATAATAGTTATGCCCCTAAAAAGTACCAGGTAGCATTCCTTCTGTTGTATACTGCACAGTTGCTCATTTCCTCCAGGCTACTTTACTGAATATTTTGAAATGCAAAACTATGTGGCAGGGTGTCTTCTTCTCTTTATGTAAATGAACAAATTCATGACCAGATGCTGTCTTTAGGTTTGATATTTTCAAATCACACACAGCTACCTACACAGTATTGCATAGGCTTTCAATTAAAAATAATCCCCAACATCATCACAATTGCCATGATTTTATTTTGTTGTTACTGGAGGATCCCCAAATGAACCAAAGCCTAATGACATCTAACTGCATTTTTTAAAAAAATATCCTTTAAGGTGTGTCTGTAGGGGTGAGGGGGGATCGTTGTTGGACTTCCAAATGTTGTTGGATTGAATAGCTCTCAATAGCTCTAGTCAGAACAGCCAATTGTGAGAACACTGTGAGTTGAATATGAAAACACCTTCAGAGCCACATGATTCTTTTGTTGTTGTTGTTATCCACTCTCAAGTCGATCTCAACCCATAGTGATTCTATAGATGAGACATCTCCAAGATTCCCTGTCCTCCACTATTCTGCTCAGTTCCTGTAAATTCATACCTGTGACCTCTTTTATAGACTCCATTGTTACAAGAATTGCTTTCATATTAAAAAAACACCTTTGTGGGTCTCCTGTCATGGCCCTAAATCAGAAAAGCCTAACCACCATGGATCCAAGGCGAGGACCTCACGTAGGCACCTGAAAGGTCATGTTTGCATCTACAACAATTTGCAGATCAAAAGGCCAGGCTTAGGAGCTGCAAAGTAGGACATTTGCACCTAGGAGATTTATGAGTACCATCCAGGATGTGTCCAATTGAAGATGAGATAACATCAGCATCTCAATCTCCCTTCCTTGGAGATTGTCTACTTCAAAGACTATTAATCTGGAATCCTTTGATATACAATAGCAAAACTTCGCCTCAGGCTAGGTTTAAGGGTATAAAAGATCCTCAAAATCTCAGGTACATTGGGTCTGGTTAGATTTCATGGTGACACTGTGCCACTCTGACTTGGGTGCCCGCTCTTCCCATTGTCCTCTCCCTTTCCTAAATGGTTGAGTCTATCCATCTTCATGCCAGGTAATTATCCACATTAAAAAGCCTTCTGCTTCTGCTTTCTATCCAAGCTAACTACTTTAATCCTGAGTTCTTTTGTGAATGAGTGAATGTTAGAGTGTCTTTGTATGTCTGAATCTCCAAATAAATCACAGTCATTGAAAAGCTTTGTCTCTATTAGTCTATTCCCTAGCCACCTCTGTAAACATAGGATAAAAGATCCCATTGGAGACTTGAACTTTAGTAATTCCCCAGGTTAAAGCTCTTCTTACATCATCTGTCTAGCATGTGGCCTTCCTCTCTTTCTGCTTCTCTCTACCTTTCCTAGCATTATTGTTTTCTCCAGTGAGAAATGCTTTCTCATGATGTCGCCAAAGTACAGTAGCCTTAGTCTAGTCATCTTGGCTTCCAGAGCGATTTCTGGTTTGATCTGTTTTAGCACCC